CAGAGCTGACCATTGCCTCCTGTGCCTACGCAGTTTTAATGCACAGCCTGGCTGCCCTCTGCTCTCAGGTCTACAGCCAGTGTTTTTCAAAAGGTGTGAAGGGACCCTGTTTATCAGAATCACCCAGGATAAGTATCCTGGTAAGAAGCCCAATTTCCTGATCCACTCAATCAGGAATTCTGGGGTGGACCCTGGGAATTGTAACTGGAGAGGAAATCCCAGAAGCACCCTGGAGTACACCGAAGTCAGAGAACCATTCTGCCGGAGTTCCCCATTGTTCGAGAAGATCTGTCCTACTACCAACTGCCAGGAATATATCCCATCCCCTTTCCATGGTCCTGTGTCAGGACTAGGGGGGCAGTCTACCGCTGATACTCCAAAGGCTAGGCAGTTGGGGTTTCCAGGGTAACCCATTCCAACTCTTCTCTGAGTGTAACGTCACTTTCTATCTATAGGCCTCAGTTTCCCATATACACCAAGGACGGGGTATATGCTGTTGAGGGTCCCTTTCAGCTGCAAAATAAAGCACACGATCTTTACATCCTACCAGTGCATTCCGCTCTTTCAGCGATTCTAGCTCTAAAACTCTAAGAACGTAGACACCTGGGTGGCTCAGCGGTTGAACATCTGCCTTTGGCTCAGGTCATGATCCTAGAGTCCCGGGATCAAGTCCCCCCATTAGGCTCCCGCAGGGAGCCTGCATCTTCCTCTGCCTGTGTCTCTGCCTCTATGTTTCTCTCATGAATAGAAAAAATCTTTAAAATAAGTAAATAAATCTCTAAGAACTTGCATTTGAGGTGGGGGGAGGGGTAACCCTTTCTCGTTTAAAGTGAAACAGGGCATTAGGGTGGCTCAGTCCCTTAAGCCTCTGCCTTCCACTGAGGTCATGATCTCAGGTCCTGGGACGGGGCCCCATCTGGCTCCTTGCTCAGCGGGGAGCCTACTTCTCCCTCTCCCTCTGCCCTCCTTCCCCGTGCTCGCTCTCTTTACAATAAATAAATAAGTAAATAAATAAATAAATAAATAAATAAAATCTTTAAAAAAAAGTGAAACTTTCAAAAAGCATGTCTCGTATCACATACCACTTCCAATTTTCACAAAATGAGATGTTTAGCCTTCCTGCCCCAGCTCTTTTTGGTTTGTTTTTAACATCCGTTGCTGGACATGCTTCCAAACCCTTCCCACAGGCCAGAGAGGAGGTGTGAGAATTGGGGGTGCAGCCACACCTTGAGCAACCCTTCAGTGCCCTGCTGTGCATGGGTACTGAAGCCTTTTAGACCATTCTAGTCGCATAACCCTCCCAACACCCCCATCTGAAGGACCAGAAAGTCGATGCTCAGACAGCCTGAGCCGCCCAAGGGTGCACAGCTGGCCTGCAAAGGCTCAGGCCCAATCTTCCGAGGCTCGCCCCGCCTGCACGGTAGCACAGGGAGTCTACGCTGAGTTCCGGATTCGGGGAGAGCCACTGCGCCACCCGCACTGCTCCAGGCCGACCGGCGTGCCCCCCGAGGCCTGGCGAGAGTGCTGCCCAGCCAGCCACGCGCACACATGGCCTCGCAGCCTTCCACGCGGAGCTGCTGGAAGACTGTGCACGCAGGGGAGGGGGAGACGGGGCTGAGCAACAGCCGCACGAGCAAAAGCGATGCCAGGGATTTAGTCAACAGAGAGCTAATATGAGTCAACAGCGGGTGCCGCTGCCAAGCACACTAATGGGATCTTCAGCTGCATTAATAGAAGGAAGGTGTCTAGGGTAGGCCGAGGGAGCCCTGCCCGGCCCCGACCAGGCCACACCCGAGGGCTGGGCCGGGCAGGGGCGCAGCCCCGGCCAAAGCGGGGCCGGGCTTTCCGCAGAGGAGTGGCTCAGGGCGCCTCTGGGGGCTGTAGGGCGAGCCAGGGATTCCCCTGCAAGCGGGGTTTGTAGCCCATCGGAGGCTGCACGTTACAGACGGGTTGTTTTTAGAAGATCCTGTTGTTCACGTTTTTCTCAAAGGTTGAGAAACCACAGCGAAGGTTAAAACCGGGCAGGCCCGCGAGGGGAGGCGGCCCACCGGCAGGCAAGGAGGCTCCAGGCCCCGCCAGGGAACCGCTGAAGACGCCTACGGTCGCTTCGTCCTTTCTGTCCTACGCCAACGGGCCACGGGTTAGCTAAGGAGCGGACCTGGTACGACGAGGCTTCTGAAAATGCACAAGGGACCCCGGGTTTGAGATCCTATAACCTCAAGTGTGGAAGTCTCCAGGAGGCCCTCCTGACCCGCCCATCCCCCAGCAGCACCCCGGTCGGGTGAGCCCAGCCCCATCACTTAGCATCACTTAGAATAAAAAGCCTGTTTCTACCTGTGTTTCCCAAGAGCCTCCAGGCCACCCCTTGTTCCCCCCTGCGCCCACAGCACAGCGCCCCATAAAGGCTGACTGAGGACTGAGGCGCCCCGGGGCCTGGTCACCCTGAAGGTGCTGCTGTGCTCAATTTCAGACCCTGTGTTCAGATCAGGGCTGACACGATGGCTTATGACAAGGCACAGCCACCGTTAGCAGGCTGAGCAGAAGAATTCGCGGAGCTAACCCCGCCGGAGGGTTTTAATTACAAAGGAGCCGGGGTTAGCCTGGCAAGTGCCCTGAGTGCCTGCGGAAGTGACAGGGGACAGAGAATCCAGCTAAGGGCTATGGCAGCCAGAGGTAAATCCTGTCCGTGTGACAGGCAGCAACGCAACACCGGGGCCCAGGAGGCGGTAGAAATCCAGGGAAGCAGAAGGGGGGAACAATGACGAGAGGGGCTACATGCCCAACAGGCCGGCATTAGAAGTGAGCCCGGGGAAGGAGCACGCGAGCTGCAAATCCACCCGCGAATTCACTGGGAGCCGCCGCCCGGCGCTAACCTCGGACTCTGAGAATTAATTAAGGAACCACAACTCTGATCTGGGAAGGCGAGCCCAGGAGCCCGTGGGACGCAGTTCTGATATCTAATAAATCTTTAAATCGATGAGCCGTGCTCACTGGTGATTTTTAGCATTGTCCCCCCCGAGGGCTCCCACGACAAAAGCGTGTGTCGTGTCTTCGGACAGGGCGTGTGTGTGCACAGGTGCGGGCATCTGTGGAAATAAGATGCGAGGTTCTCGGGATCGCCTCTTAGAGCATCAAGAAATCTGCCACCGTAAGAAATCCGGGGGAAATCTTTTGTCAAGCGACCTTTGGTAAAGCGCAGAAACCTTTCCGGATGTAAAGGGCCCCGCCCCCACGCCCAGGGAGGGCTCCAGCGGCCACCCAGGTCAGCCCTCGGCCCCATCCCAGCCTGATCCTCGGCGCACCTGTCTGGGTTTACCCACCACGCATGCACTTGACTCAGTTTGCGTTTGTCATCCCAGAAACACCCCTTAAGCCCTGTCGCACGAATCCGACAGAAGCAATATGTTTTCTAAACGCACCATCCCTGGGGAACAGCCGAGAAAATCCTCAAGGAGCCCCGACAAAGTTCTGGGGGGGGGGGGAGCATTCCTTCCCCCGATCCGAGACGCAGAATGCGCCACATCCTCTCCACACAGCAGCTGCCCACCTCTCCGATCCTCCTGGCTCCCCGGCCTCCCCCTCCGAGCCGGAGACGCGCTGGGGAGCCTCAGTCGTGGGGAGGAGGAACATTTTCAGGCTATTTTAAAGACAACAGCTCTAAGCACAGGAACGCCGGCTCCTTCTGCGTGAATAAAAAGGCCCCACAAGGGTATGATCATAACAAAATGATGTTCTCCGGAGAGCGCGCTAGGAGGCACAGATATAAAAATGGCCCTCGGCTGAAACTGCCTCAAAATCAAGACCTAAGGCAGCATTAAAGTGCAGGCCAAGCAGGCTCTGACCTTCCCATCTAAAAGCCTCATGGGTTCCTAGGTCCCTCGGGAAGTCTCAAGAAGGTCCCCCACGCGGGAAGGCCTACACGGTTCCTCTGGAAGTCTGGGTATGCGCTTTTTTTTTTTTTTTTTTTTGCGCGTGAAATCCTCGGAATGATCTGTGACATTTCATCGAAAAGCTCGATCGGGGCTGTGTCCTCAGTCACACCCAGAGATTCCCCAAGGCACCGTCTGCCGCAGCGCCGGGTGCCCAGCAGGCGCCCCATTTGATTCGATTCGATCACATCTGGCCCCTCCGGGCCGCAGAGCAGGGCGCCCCGGCGGAGACGGCAGCGCCAGCCCAGCTCAGGGCTGCGGGGGGGGGGGGGGGGGGGCGGGGTGCAGCCACCTGTGGGCGGGGGCCCGGACCCCGCGCCGCAGCCCCGGGGTCCCCCCGCCGCCCCCCCACGCACGGTGCGGGGGGTGGGAAGGGGCGAGCTGGGCGCGCCAGGCCGGAGGGCGCCCCAGGGCCGGCTCCCGGCGCCCCAGCAGAGGGCTGCGCTGGTGCAAAGTTGGCGAGGCCGGAGTTAGCTCCCAAGTCACCCAGCCCCCTGCGAGGCGGAGGGCTGAGGGGCTCTCCCGGCTGGGGATGGGGCGGGGGCCGGCACCGAGAAGGGGCCGGGAGAGAAAAGGTCCCCGGATCCCCTCCCAAACTTGGGGCACCTGCTGGGCAGCGGGGGAGGGGCTTCTCCCCCCGCCGTCTCCACGAGGCCTGGTGACGACTCTGCGGGGGCAAGCAGGCCCCCCGGGGCACCCCGCATTGCTCTGGGATTGCCTAACCCACTGCGCGGCACCAAGAGGGCCCCGCTGCGATCTGGGGGGGGGGGGCGGGGGGCGGGGGGCGGAAGGGGAGCACCGGCCACCGCGCCAGGGGGCGGGGACTCGGGGAGAGGGGACCCGGCGAGCGGGGGAGGGCGCGAGGCCCAGAGCACCAGGCGGCAGCCGGGGAAGGCGCGCGCCCCGGCGGCGCAAGGTCCCACGGAGGGGTCCGGAGGGAACCCGGGGAGGGGGAGGGGGAGGGGAGGGGGAGGGGGAAGGGGGGGAGGGCCCCCGGGGAGGTGCAGGCGGGGCGCCCGGAGGGGCACACGGGGGGGCGGGCCCGGGGGTGGCAGCGCCGCGGTCACTCACCGGCAGGTCCACGCTCACTTCGGTCCCGTCGAGCAGGAAGACGCGGCAGTACAGGGTGGCCTTGGCGGCGCCGGCGGCGGAGATGTGCACGGCCGCGCCGCCCGTGAGCAGGGGCCCGCCGCCCGCCGGGAACACGCTCCCCCCCGGCGCGGCGGGCAGCGTGGAGGAGGAGGCGGCGGCGGCGGCGGCGGCGGCGGCGGCGGCCGGGCCCCCCCGCGGGCCCCCGTCGCGCTCGTCCCCCAGCCCGGCGGCCCCGCGCCCCGCCGCGCCCCGCGCGTAGCGCTGCATGGAGCGGCGGCCAAAGGTCCGGCGCAGGAACCGCAGCATCCTGGCCGGGGGCGCCCCCTGCCTCCGCCCCCTGCGCCGCCGCGCCGCCGCCCGGGAGCGCCCCGCGCCGCCGTCAGTGCCCGCGGCCGCCTGCGCCGCCTCCCGGCGCCCGCGGCCCGGGGCTCGCTCCCGCCGAGGCCGAGGCCGCGCTCCGGCTGCCCGCGGGGCGCGCCCGCCCGGGCCAGCGCCGGCCGCCAGGGGCCGCGGGCGGGAGGGAGGGCGCGCTCGGGGCGGCCCCGGGGCCGTCCCGCCGCCGCCGCTGCCGCCGCCGCCGCCGCCGCCGCCGCCGCGCGCTCCCCGGGCCGCCGGCCTGAGTTCCCGGCGCAGGGGCCGCTCCCGACGGCGGGCGGCGGGGCCCGGAGCTGCGGGGCGCGGGGGCGCGGGCTGCGGGGGCGCGGGGCGCGGGGGCGCGGGCTGCGGGGGGCGCGGGGGGCGCGGGCTGCGGGCTGCTCCCGCGCGGCGCGCCGGCCGAGGGCCAGCCGAGCAGGGCGCCTGCGTGCTCCCGGCGCGCTCGCTCCCACTCGCCGCGCCGCGCCCGGGGCCCGAGGAGGCCCCGCCGAGCGCCGGCTCCCGAGGCGCCTTTTCCTGCGCCCGCGGCCCCCGCCTCCCACCTGGGAGGCTGCACCTCCAGCCGCCGCCGCCGCCGCCGCCGCCGCCGCCGCCGCCGCCGCCGGGACTGCAGCACGCCCTCCTCCCTCGGGGCTGCGCCGGGTACTTGCAAACCGGGGCTGTGCTGCCCCCTGCCGGCCCGGGCGCCCCCTGCTGCTGTAGGTGTGCTCACGTGTGTGCACGTAGGTGAGCACACACGTGTTTCCGGCGCCCCGGGCCCCCCGGAGCCCTGCGGCCGCCCGGGACTCCCCCCCCCCCGCCCCCCGCCCCAGCCCCGGGAGGACAGCGAGGCCGCGTGCCCCGCGGGAGGCCTGGCCCCGGGGCCGGAGGGCGACGGAGAGACCAGCGTTCAGGGAAGGCCCTCCTGGGTCCTCAGTTTCCCCTTTTGGAAAAGGAGAGGGGCGCACCGGGTGATCCGCAGCGTCCCTGCTAGATTCAGTTCTACCTGTTTAAGATCTCAGAGCTGGAAGGGCCCTTTTAGCCCTTCCGGGCCAATGCATCAGTCCAAAGAAGGAAATTGAGCCCCACGCATAGAGGGGGAGCACTTCCCCAGCCTACTCCGCGGGAAGAAGAAGAAGGAGAGGAGAAGGAGAAGGAGAAGGAGAAGAAGGAGAAGGAGAAATATACACCTTTCCTCAAGAAGCTTGTATCCAGTACTGAGGCAGAGGCCTGCACAGATAAATAAATAGCCATAACCGGAAAGGCTGGTAAAGGTGGAGGCACAGAAGTGCAGATCAACATGCTCCTCGGGTATCCAAGCTCCCGCAGGCCTCAGGGAGAAGTGGGTCGGTCAGCGTCGCTGGAAAAAACGTCGGGAACACCGGGTTGAAAGGAAGGCAGGCCTCTCCAGAACAATAACACTGCTATTTTTTTTTTTTTTTTTTTGGTGCCTGACACTGTGCTAAGTAAGCCCTTTGCCTTCATCATCCCACTTAATCCTCAGAATAACTTGGTTCCACAGACGTCTTAGCCCCATTGTCCAGAGGAGGAATTGAAGCTTAGCACGCCTAAGAGACTTGCTCCAGATCTCACTGTGAACAGGGGCTCATTTGCACGGCTTGGGAGCTCCTAATCACTGCCAGGCTGAGGCATGTGGCAGGACCCGCAAACACTGAAGGTTTCTGAGAGGCCTGCAAGGAGGCAGTGGCCACTTGCCGCGTGTTCCCTTGCAAAGGGGACAGAGAAAGAGGGAGGGATGAATTCAGACAACATGCCGGAAATACATGTTGATTGAGGATCAGGCCCTGTCTTAGGTGATTTCATGGATGATATTTTCATTAATCCTCCCTCCAACCGTTGCAGGTAATTCTGTTTATCCCCATTGACTTAGGTGGAGTTTGAGGCTTAGAGGAGTAATATCCTTGCCTGAGGTCTCAGAGCTCCTGCATGGCAGCAGCCAGTGCCTTCACCTGTTGTATGGTGCTCTCTGGACGCTCTCCAGGGCTCTACTACGTGACACGGTGCCGTGAGGGGCATCTGCAGTCAGCCTCCAGATACCCACTCGGCTCCCCTCACTGCAAGACTCAACTTCATGGAATACCATCAACAAGTTGGTGTACAGAGCCAGCCCAGTCTGCTTACCAGTTTCTAAGGACAGCTCATTTCCTACTTGATAGCCCAGAAGCAGCAGTTAGACTGAATAATGGGCCCCCAAAGATCTCCACATCCTAATCCCCTTTGCAGATATGGCTAAATTAAGGAGTTTGAGGTGGGGAGATGGTCCCAGATGATCTGGATGGGCCCATTATAATACCTTATATCCCAGGGTCCTTATAACAGGGAGGCAGGAGGGTCAGAGTCAAGAGAGAGTGATGTGATATGGCATCATGTCAGCGTGATGGGCCCAGGAGCCAAGGAATGCAGGCAGCTGCTGGAAGCTGTAAAGGGTAAGGAACAGATCATCTGCTAGATGTTCCAAAAGGAATGCAGCCTTTGATTTTAGCTTATAAACTCCACCTCAGATTCTGACTTCCTGAATTGGATAATAATACATGTGTATTGCTTTAGGCCACTAAGTTCACGGTAGTTTATTTCAGCAGCGATAGGAAACGAATACAAGTGCAGTATGAAATCATATCAGTTTGGTGCATCACAGTTTTCAAACCACCCCTCTATAGTGAGCATCATTCAGTTTGTGATTATTCACTCAACATGGTCTCCTGCTAGACACCGACCTCTGGAAGGATTCATCACTGTATCCCCACCTAGCACTTAGCTTGCTGTTTGGTAAGCAGTAGGTGGTCAAGACAAAACAAAACAATAAAACAATAAAAAAAAAAAAACCACTTGTTGCATGAATTCAGGATCTTATTTCATTGTCATACGGCATTAAGGGGTAGGAAGTGCCATTGCCTTTTAGAGGGGGAAGATGAACACGGAGTACAGCCTGAGCTCATGCTCCTGTCCCCTGACTGTGGATCCCGTGTGCTACCAACAGCACCTCATCACTAAGGGGGGCCGCCACATGGCTTTAGGTACCTCCACCTCCTCTGTTTTTTCTTTTCTTTTTTTTTAAGATTTATTTATTTATTCATTCAGAGAGAGCGAGAGAGAGGCAGAGACTCAGGCAGAGGGAGAAGCAGGCTCCATGCAGGAATCCTGACGTGGGACTGGATCCCAGGTCCCCAGGATCACACCCCGGGCTGCAGGCAGCGCTAAACCACTGCGCCACCGGGGCCGCCCCCTCCACCTCCTCTGTATGAGGCACTGTCACCTTCGGGATCTCATCCAGTCCTCGTCACATGAGTGATTCAAGCACTCTTGTCTCTACCACGTGGAGCAGAAACAGGCTCAGGCCTTCCTTTGATTAAATTTCGTGTCATTCATGTTTCAACCTGAGAATTTCAACATTTGATGAGCCAGTTTTCATTTTGTCCGCTCGCGGTGCTGTGTATTTCCAAAGAGCAATGTTCTTTCTTCATCTTTGCCTTTTGGGCCTAGAAATCCCTCTCCTTGTTATCTAAGGTTCTGTAACCAGCGCTTCAAAAACATTAATTGCCATTTCCCAGCCCTCCTCCGTACTCAGTGTGAACAGGCCAGAACTGCACACGGATCCTGTTTGCCAACATATCACTCTTTTTTTTTTTAAGATTTTATTTATTTATTCATGAAAGATACACACACAGAGAGAGAGAAGCAGAGACACAGGCAGAGGGAGAAGCAGGCTCCCTGCAGGGAGCGCAATGTGGGACTTGATCCCAGGACCCCAGGATCACGCCCTGAGCCAAAAGCAGATGCTCAACCACTGAACCACCCAGGCGTCCCAACACATCACTCTTTTATGAGATTCTTGGTCCTCAAACCATTATTCAGGAGCCTCAGTGTTTTCCCTTGCATTTCTGTCTAGAACCATCATGAGCTGAAGTTCCCAAGAAACAGTGTTTGCTAAGTGCCAGGTCCTTTCCTGGATCGTCACTACTAGCTTGACTTCCTCGGTGTCCTGGGCCATATTTGGAGTCTGGCCCCTAGAGTCACCTCCCTGCCGGGTCCTCATCAAAGCTCAGCTCCCGCTTCATCCCCCACCTGCTCAGGTCCAGGAGAGCTCCCCGCTGTCCCGGCCCACGCTACTTCTCCACGCACTTCGCATCATCCGCAAACCTTGGAGAGTTCCTCACACACTCCCTGCCTCCAGAGTCGTTTTACAAGTTAATTAAACAGCCCTTAGCCCTGTCTCTAAGGAACTGGGTTCACAAGTGTGCCATTTATCCCTATCCTTTGTTTCCTGGCTCCTTTCCTAGACTCCATAAAATCATGCCCTCGTTCCGTCAGACTCCTTTCTTCATAGAACAAGAGTACACTCTAGTACGTGTTCCTATTTACTCCCTTGTCAAGTTTTCTCTCCGTGGACATTTACTGAGGCCTTACTATGTGCCACGAGCTATATATAGCTAGGTATACACCACTCTATAGCAAACACTTACCCTTTCTAGTGTTGGATAAATGTCCGCTTAATCCTTCGGGGGTTGTTCCACAATAATAATAGCTTTCATTGCTTACAGACTGTGTAGAGGGCCGCGGTGGTTTGTGCCTGGCTACACTTTCCTTCTTTGGGTTACTTCACAAACTACTCCCCCTGCACCCGGAGGCCTGGTGATCTAGTTGAGGCTGACCCCAATCCCCTGCCTCAGGTTTGGCTCTTGATCAGGCCTGGCTAATCAGAGCATTGCGTGTCCCAAGAGACCTGTTACTAGCTCAAGAATGGGCAGTAACCCATGGAGATCAGCCCAGGACCTCTTGTTGAAATCATTTGGAACCCGCAGTGTTAAGCCTGGAACTGCTTGTCGTGTGCCCACCTTGGCACCCTGTAGGAAGAAAACCGAGGATGATAACAACACTAAGAAAAGCGGAACCAAGAGATGGAGAGACATCACTTTCTGGTGACAATTCCGTTTTTGACTACCTGGATCCAGCCGTGCCTGAAGCTACCCCCTGGAATTTACAACTGAAGGAGTGAATCCGATTAGCATGATGA